ATCCGCCCGCCTCGGCCTCCCAGAGTGCTAGGATTACAGGCGTGAGCCACTGCGCCCGGCCTTCTTTTGTCTTTTTGATAATAGCCATTCTGACTGGAGTAAGTTGGTATCTCATTGTGGTTTTCATTTGTATTCCCTGATGATTAGTGTCTTAGTCTGTGTCACTACAAGAGAGTATCTGAGGCTGGCTAATTTATAAAGAAGCAAGGTTTATTTGGCTCACAATTCCACGGGCTGTACAAGAAGCATAACATCAGCATCTGCCTCTGGTGAGGGCCTCACAAAGCTTCCACTCACGGCGGAAGCTGAAAGGGAGATCACAAGGTTTTTTCAACAATCAGTTCTCTTGGGAACTAAGTGTGAGAACTCACTGACTCCCTTAAGAATGGCACCAAGGCATTAGTGAGGGACCCTCCTCCATGATCCAGACACCTCCCACCAGCCCTCACCCCCAACAATGAAGATAAAATTTTGACATGAGACTTTGTGGGTACAAACAAACTATATCCAATCCATAGCAATTAGTGATGTTGAGAATTTTTTCATATACCTGTTGGGCATTTGTATGTCTTCTTTTGAGAAATATCTGTTCAGGTCTATTCAGGTCTTTTGCCCATTTTTTAATTGGGTTATTTGGGGGGGGGTTGCCATTGAATTATGTTCATGTTCCTTATATAGTCTGGATATTAACCCTTTGTCAGGTGTATAGTTTGCAAATATTTTTTCCCATTCTGTAGGTTGTCTCTTCACTCTGTTAATAGTTTCCTTTGCTGTGCAAAAGCTTTTTAGTTTTTGAGATCTACTCTCAAATTTAAAAAAAAAAAAAGCTTTTAAGTTTGATGTAATTCCATTTGTTTATTTTTGCTTTCGTTGCCTGTGCTTTGAGGTATTATTTTAAAAATCCTTCCCCAGGCCAATGTCATGAAGTGTTTCCCTGTTTTCTTCTAGTAGTTTCATAGCTTGAGATTTTACATTTAAGTCTTTAATCCATTTTTACTTGATTTTTGTATGTGGTGAGAGGTAGGGGTGTAGTCTTATTCTTCTGCATGTGGATATCCAGCTTTCCCAGCAACATTTACTGAAGAGACTCATTTCCCCAATGTTCGTTCTTGGAACCTTTGTCAAAAATCATTTGGCTATAGATGTGTGAATTTATTTCTGAGATTTATATTCTGTTCCATTGGTCTATATGTCTGTTTTTATGCCAGTACCATACTGTTTTATAGTATATTTTGAAATCAGTTAGTGTGATGCCTCCACCTTTGTTCTTTTTGTTCAGAATTGCTTTGGCTGTTTGGATCTTTTGTGGTTCCATATGAGTTTTAGGATTGTATTTTCTATTTATTTGAAGAATGTCATTGGTATTTTAATAGAGATTACATTAAATCTGTGTAGAACGCTTTGGGTAATATGGCCATTTTTTACAATATTAATTCATCCAGTTCATGAACATGTGATATTCTTTCATTTATTTGTATCTTCTCTTAAATTTCTTTTCTCAGAGTTCTATAATTTTCCGTGTAGAGATCTTTCACCTTTTTAGTTAAGTTTATTCCTAGGTATCTTTATTTTTAATAGGTATTGTAACTGAAATGATTTTCTTAATTTCTTTTTTAGATAGTTCACTCTTAGCGTGTAGAAACACTACTGATCTTTGTATATAAATTTTGTATCCTGCAACTTTACTGAATTCATTTATTAGCTTTAACAGTTTTTTGGTGATATCTTTTTTTTTGAGACAGCGTCTCACTCTCTTGCCTGGGCTAGAGTGCTGTGGTGTCAGCCTAGGTCACAGCAACCTCAAACTCCTGGGCTCAAGTGATCCTCCTGCCTCAGCCTCCCAGGTAGCTGGGACTACAGGCACGCGGCACCATGTCCGGCTAATTTTTTCTATTTTTAGTTGTTTTTGGCTAATTTCTTTCTGTTTATAGTAGAGA